ATTCCTCAGCACCACATAAGCAGAAAAAGCCTGAAGTGGTGCTGTGGCTCAAGTGGTAGAGCGCTAGCCTTGAGCTGAAGAGCTGAGGGACAGTGTCTAGGCCCAGAGTTCAGGCCCCACAACAGACCAAAGAGAGAGAGAGAGAAATTAAATTCTTCAAGTAATGCCTTTACCTAAAACCCAGGGGACAAGTCTGTCCATGGCCTCTTTACCCTTTCTCACCAGCTTCCACCATTCCAAGCGGCTCTAGAGGCTGTCCTCAAGGAAGGTGACAGCCATTGAAACTAAGCAGGACCATGGCTTGTAGTAGGTGAGCCTTGTTCTGCTGGAGAGAGCGGCCTTTATGACTACTGCATAGCAGTAAGCTCTATAAAAATATGTTTATCTAATAGGAAGCACCACCTTTTATTCCTTGACCACAAATCAGCTGTGATTGCCTAAGCAGAATGGACTGAGGGAAGCTGTGATTTAAAGTCTGTTCAATGTAATCCATAAAACATCACTTGAGTGATACCTAAGAACTTCCAGGCATCTTAAAACTGACTCTTGAGCCAGGCCCCTGTGGCTCATGCCTGGCATCCTAGCTACTCAGGAGGCTGAGATCTGAGGATCACGGTTCAAAGCCAGTCCCAGGCAGGAAAAGTCCAAAACTCTTATCTCCAATAAAACCACTCAGAAAACAATAGGAAGTGGCGCCATGGCTCAAGTGGTAGGGCACTCGCCTTCAGCTGAAGAGCTGAGGGACAGCGCCCAGGCCCAGAGTTCAAGCCTCATGAACAACCAAAACAAAGACAAAAACAAAAACCTAACTCTTGACCATTTGGCTCTCTGAAAACCCTGTGGCTACGGCCAGGATGCACAGCCTTCACCACCCATGACCAATCCGAATGGAAAGAATGCCTTCAACACTGAGGGCGTGTCCGGAGACAGACAGAGGCATGGGACAAAGGGAGGAGGCCAGTGGTCATCCCATACCTGACACCAACACAAGTTCGTGAAGTCTCTTCACCTTCCACAGTAAATGAGCTTCTGTGAAGCCACAAGAAGAACACCCGGGTTAGGGCGTGGCCACTGATCCTGGCTGGGAGGAAGAAGACCCCAGGGCAGAGCTCACAGGGCTGCCTCCTATTCTAAGCTGCAGCTCCTGACTTGCATCTTAGGATAAATTACCAAACACTTCCCAATTTGCTGGTCAAGTTCCTAAAGTAATTAAGTCCTCACTGTCTGCAGCCTGCTTTATAAGCTCCTATCCCCAGCTCCCAATAAAACTTCCGCTTGAGGCTCAGGACAAAACTGCACATTTTCAGTTGAAACAACAGTTGGCATTTTTCTTCCAATCTCTTGCAGAACACAAATTTATGCACCTAAAGGTAATAAGGAAAAGTCTTAAATTTAACCAGAAGAAAGATTTCTCCAGTGGCAAACTGATAAATTATTTAGAAAAGGGCTCAATCAGCCAGGCAAGGAAACACAGGGCAGATAAAGAGTCTGGCAGGCTTTGGAAATGAATGCAATCACCGTGATTTCTCCAAATTCCTTCCTGAACCCAAATCACCTTTATCAAAATATCTAATTTTGAGTACTCACAGCTAGAAAAGTGAGGAGGGAAAGTCTGAGCATTCTGGCACCGGCAAGGAAATGAGTGGTCGGTCTGCCGAGCACCCTGGAACACTGGTACGGTGACAGCTGGCAGCCTCCTGCACCCTGGACAGGAACGCCAGCAGACACCCGACTGTTCCCTGCACGGCCACAGGGAGCCAGGCACGGATTTCAGCAAGCATTAATGAAAAGGACCTCATTGCAAATTGCCTGACCTTTGTGGGTCTTTCAATAAAACCCACAGAGAAAGTGAAAACTGGATCTCGAGGTCCTTCCATCAAAGGTCTAGGAAGTTTAATGGTGTAGCCATTGCTTTGTTACAGATGGCACATCAACCTCTCCTTCTTACTGCGTAAGTGCGATCGTATGGTGCCCAGTGAGCTTTGCACGCCTCCAGGACTCTGATTTACAGCTGGGGACAGGCCCTGGCACCACACATCTGAGCTCAGGAATCGCCTCCATGTCTTGCTGGCTCTATAGGCCATGTGAGGCACTCACTCAGAAACACTGTCCTCTGTGCCAGGCACGACTGACTCTCTCCTACAACCCACATGAGCGTATGCGAGGAAAGCAGTATGCTGCATGTACCATAGCAAACATTATCGCCAAATACTTGTGGCACAACCTTGTGTTTGACAACACAAGCCAGGCAGAGGTATCGGCGGCATCATTACCTCATGCTTGTTTCTGAACAATGGGCCCCTAAATGGTTTGTACCAGGAAGCTTTGGAACCATTTTAGCATATTTAAAAATGGAAGGAATAAGCTAGGCACCGGTAGCTCATGCCTATAATCCTAGCTACTCAGAAGGCTGAGACCTGAGATCTTGGTTTGAAACCAGCTGAGGTAGTAAAGTCTGGGAGACTCTTATCTCCAATTAATCACAGAAAATACTGGAAATGGCACTATGGCTTAAGTGCTAGAGAGCTAGCCTTGAGCAAAGAGGAGCTCAGGGCCAGCACCCAGGCCGAGTTCAAGCCGCAGGACCAGCAAAAAAAAAAAAAGGAAGCAAAAGGAAGCAATAGTCTTTGCATGCAAAAATGAAAAAAAACCTCATTATTGAGATTTTTTTTTTTTTTTTGGTCAGTCATGCAGCCTGAACTCTGGGTCTGGGCGCTGTCCCTCAGCTCTTCAGCTCAAGGCTAGCACTCTACCACTTGAGCCACAGCACCACTGCTGGCTTCTTCTACTTATGTGGTGCTGAGGAATCGAACCCAGGGTCTCATGCATGCAAGGCTAGCACTCTACCACTGAGCCACCTTCCCAGTCCCTCATTATTGAGACTTGACTTCCTGAAAGACAGCCAGGTAATAGGGCTTAAACTCAAGGCCTTTTGCTCTTGCTTATAGCTTTTTCTGCTCAGGGTTGGTGCTCTACCATTTGAACCACATCTCCACTTCCTAGTCTTGAATTCATTCCATTTCATCTGTCCTCAAATTCTCATTCAGAAAATTATTTTGTAAACTCAGTATTCAATGTTCCAGACTGCAGAAGTGCACAGCAGGACGGGCCTGTTGTTCTAGGCGGCTCTGCTGTCAGGCCAGCCACACGTGATCACGCTGCCCTGTGTGCGTCCAGAGCCTGTCCACCTGCCTTACATCACAATGCATCTTCAGGTGCCATGAAGGGATCCACCTTCAGCAAAACTTAGACCAAAAGTAACAGATCCACCTAAGAAAATTCCATTTACTGTCAGCTGGTGTGTGTGACCGGCTGACACCCGCCAGGCTAAAGTAATAAAGCTAACAGTAAACCAGCTCTTAGCTTTCAGAAGCAACAACAACAAAAGTAAATCCTAGCAAACGGGGTAAACATTTAAATATATGGAACCTGAAATTCTATCTTCTTATGGAACAATTCTTTTAAAGGAAGAAAGTAATTAAAAGGAGATCTGAATATATCTGGCTACAGCCCATCTTAAACAAGAAAAACAGCAAAATCAACCCAGGAAAGGTCAGAGCAGCTAATTGAAAGGGTTTCCTTAAGTGTGTGCAGTGCTGGTAGAAATGAAAGCCAAGTCTTGGGCACAGGCCCGACTCCCGAGGCTCCACACTGACACCAGCCTCCCAGCACCGCCGATGTCCCCGCTGTCCTGTAAGTGCTGTCTTGCTTGCCTTGCTGAGCTGCTGGATACCTTCAAAGTCCTCAAAGATGCCAAGTGCCTCAACTTCCTTTAAGTAATTACCCCATCCACACACCTGTGCAGTCCTCATCTAGGACTCAGTGTACAGCAATTCCAGGAAAAGACTGAATTTTTATATAGACACTGAAGGGGCAACAGATTTGAGAAAGGAAAAGCAAGGCCTTGAGGTCTATCAAAACACCAGAGAACCTGCTTCCAAACACAAAGGCCCCTTATTGTCTTCTCCACAAGTTAGAAGCTCTAACAAAAAGACAGCGATGTTTCCTATCAATTAGTCACCTTACTACCATGAGCTACAGCAGAAATTATCAAAGGGCACTGTGAAAGCCATCCTCTTACTCAAAGAACGTAAGTTATGTACAAGAAATCCCAAATTCCACAGTATGTGGATAAATGACCCACCACTAATCAAAATCCCAAGCAGGCAAGTGTTGGGCAGGTTCTGTAATTCATTAGCCAAGAGGAAAGACTCAAATGAAAAGGAGCACACAGGTGAGGCCAAAGCTTCACATCCCTGCTTCCTAACAGATAAGTTAGGGAGGCGATTCCAGAACCAGGCCTCACACAAAGCTAACCTCAAGGCTCTCCCAGAAACATTCCAAATTTCCCATTTTCCATTAAATTTTCAAACCAGTTAATGAGAAGGATAAAGGACCTAGGTCTTTGGGTTACTCACAAGTAAGTACGATCTTAAAGGCAATTTGACACAGTTATATGCTATGTGGCTTTTGAGAAAAGAAAGAAAAGCTGTCAGATATAAGCAACAAAAACACACTAATTGGTAACTGGCTCCCTGAAAAGAATCCTCCCTCCTGAATCAAAGGCTAAGCACATAATAGGTGTCATCCTTTGAAGGCTCCATGCTTTTTTTCTCCCCTACTTGAAAACTGAAGGCAAGAAAGATAACTACCTCGGTACAGTTATGGAAGTTACTAAACATATATTTCCTGTGCAGAATAAAAGCCATGATTTAAGAGTAACCCCAATCATATTTTTTCTTTACATAAAGAAAATTACACAAAACAGACAGACTATTGGCTACATGACTCACAATACTGCACGGGTTGTCATTAAAAATGATACATCTCTCACACAGAGCGTGCAGCCGCGCGCACGGGGGTGGGGGGGGGGGTAATCACGGATTATACGAGGTGACACTCTCCAGAGAGTTCCCCCTTGGATTCAAAGATGGCTTGAAACCACGGAATTGAGGTTTCCCTGCTTCAAACAGAGGAGAGAGCAAGTACAGCAGGCTTACCCGTGGCTGCCAGTTTTCATACTGCTTCTGTAAATTTGCACCGATGGTTTCCAGAGCTTTCTGAGGACCCATGGACAGAGGATCTGTGGAGGCAATGAAAAGGAGAGAGTCTTATGCATGGTCTTCTCCTCATGAAGCTTTTCTACAACCCACTTCAGTGACCTGCGAATGCAGACGACACATTCTTTACGTTTATCCACATTTAACCAGGTGCACAGGACTGCCGCGACACCCCAAGAGGCTACTGCACCCACAGAACTACTTATTAAAATCATTGGTCCAGGGATCCTGGGCCTGGACATTTTCTTACATTCTCCCTGCCTTTTCCCTGTCCTCCTGTTAAAGATCCACTGGAAAAGCTTGAGCTGTGATCCACAAGGACAGACGGTACACACACAAGAAACCCTTAGGGAAGAACACTGAACTCTCCCCTGCAAATACAGCTCTGCAGGCAAAGAAAGAGACGGATGGAGGGCCAGCGCATTGTAAAAAGTTCCATCCAGGGCTGGGAGGGTGGCTCAGTGGTAGAGCGCCTGCCTGGCACACATGAAGCCCTGGGTTTCATTCCTCAGCACCACAGACCCAGAAAAAGCCGGAAGTGGTGCTGTGGCTCAAGTGGTACAGTTAGCGTTGAGCAAAAAAAGCTCAGGGACAGTGCCCAGCCCCTGAGTCCAAGCCCCAGGATTGGCAAATTAAAAAATTTTTTTTAAATCCACCTACTGTCTACACTTTCCCAGGAAGCAGGTTTATAAACAGACCATGTGTCATACTGTTCCGCTTATTCAGGAGTGATTCCAGTGATTCTGAGCCTGCCATTCCCAGGCTTGGTCCCAGGACCCCTTCCCACTCTTTAAAATGGCTAAGGACCCCAGAGAGTTGTGCTTATGTGGTTATATCTATAGGCATTTACTGAGTAAGAAACTAAAATGAGAAGTAGTTAATATTTCTTTATTCTTTCACTTAAAGATAATAAGGCCACTACATTACAACATGCATATTTACTATGAAAAATAATTGGTATCAAAAAATTAGTAAGGAGAGTAGCATTGTTGAACGTTTTTGGAAATGTTTTAAATACTAGTCAACAGATCACAGCTGGGCTCCTATCTGGTCTACATGCACCGGCTGCAGCCTGTGCCTTCAGTCCGCGCGTATGAAGTTAACAGAGCGCCCTAAGTAGTCATTTAACTACTGATGCTACACCAAGCCTCCAGAAAAGCAACAACTGGGCAGTGTGGTGTCCAAGAGCACGTCCATGGACTTGGGCTGATCTGGCATGGCCTTCCACACAGCACCTGTCTCATCAGGCACTGCCCAACTGCAAAGTACCGGTTCACCGCGTGAGCCATGCGGCTTTCTACATCGCATTCTCAGATCCATCAGCTCACAAATGGCAGGGATCAAGAGGCCACGCTGGGCAAAAGGCTTGCAAGATCCCCCCTCAACCAACAGCCAGACACAGAGTGCACATCTATCATCCCAGCTATGGGGAAAGGTCCCAACTCCCCTCAGTCAGGGTCTGGGGCTTTAGAAACTCAGTAATGTTGGCTTAAGAAATCAGAGAGGACAAGTGCCAGTGGCTCACTTCTGTAATCCTAGCTACTCAGGAGGTTGAGAGCTGAGGATCCTGGTTCAAAGCCAGCCTGGGCAGGAAAGTCGTGAGACTTTCCTTTTTTTTTTTTTGGTCGGTCGTGGGCTTGAACTCTGGGCTTGGGCACTGTCCCTGCACTCTTCAGCTCAAGGCGAGCACTCTACCGCTTAAGCCACAGCACCACTTCCCATTTTCTAGTGGTTTATTGGAGATAAGAGTCTCATGGACTTTCCAGCCCCAGCTGGCTTTGAACCGCGATCTTCAGATCTCAGCCTCCTGAGTAGCTAGGATTACAGGCATGAACCACCGGCACCCAGCTTAGTCATTAAGACTCTTTTTTTTTTTCTTTTTTTTTTGTCGTCCATGGGGCTTGTGCTCTGGGCCTGGGCACTGTCCCTCAACTCTTCAGCTCAAGGCTAACCACTTGAGCCACAGTGCCACTTCTGGTTTTCTGGTGGTTTAGTGGAGATAAGAGTCTAATGACAAGGGGGCTGGGAAGGTGGCTCAGTGGTAGAGTGCTTGCCTTGCATGCCTGAGGCCCTGGGTTCGATTCCTCAGCACCACATAAGCAAAAACAAAAAAGCCGGAAATGGTGCTATGACCCAAGTGGTAGAGCGCTAGCCTTGAGCTGCAGAGCTGAGGGACAGCGCCCAGGCCTAGAGTTCAGGCCCCACGACCGGACCAAAAGAAAAAAGAAAAGAAAAGAAAAGCAATCAGAGAGGACTGGGGTGTACTGAAGTAACAGATCATTCCCTTAGCAAGTGTGAAGCTCTGAGTGCAATCACTAGCACCACAAAAAGAAGTCACAGAACGTCACAAGACTTTAAAACAGAAGCGCTCATCCCACGCCCCAGCCCTCAGAAGCAACCTCTTGCAGCTGGCGGATGTTTCCTGATTCCGTGTGAGGCTCTTTCTCCCCTTGCCTGCTCGGCTCTGCTCCCCTTGCCTGCTCGGCTCTGCTCCCCTTGCCTGCTCGGCTCTTTCTCCCCTTGCCTGCTCGGCTCTTTCTCCCCTTGCCTGCTCGGCTCTTTCTCCCCTTGCCTGCTCGGCTCTTTCTCCCCTTGCCCGAGCCTTCCACAGCGATGCCATCTTTGCCTTAAACTAATATTCTGTGCTTTACCATCTAGCCAGGAAAACACTGAGTGTATCAAGCCAACATCGTTGGTAGTGTTTTCTCTGGAGCATTCCTGGATTGTCTATCTCCTTGTTTAATTACCACCTACTTCCCAAAAATGCAATCCACAATTACAAATCCACATACTTACTCATCAGCTACTCTTCCCCCTGTCTCAGCCACCCACTGTAAAATCCCACCTTGGTAGAAGACTGTAAGATTTCTCTTTGTAGACAGTAAATGGCGCCTAGGAAAAGAGCCTGCAGGGAGCTGCGGGCAATGAGGAAGGATGGAGGTTCTGTCAGCCTGTCACTGGAGTCCCAGAATGAGAGCATCATTAAAAACTCCCCCAGTTTGTCATTCAAGAAACTCAATGAGCCACAAACAGGATAAAGCCAAGGAAATCCAAATCCAGATGCTTCATAAGAATCAGCTCACACACAGGGGATCCGATCAGTGATGGGGAGCTCTGGGCTTCCTAACAACATGAAAACAGACAAGATGCATCAAGGCCTTCAGAATTCTCCAGGAAAACAATTTAAATCTAATATTTAACTTTCAGAGAATAAAATAGAGGCATGTATGCATATGTAAATCTGTGTCTCCTGTCCTTTTCTTGTAAACCACAGAAGAAAATAACAAAAGAGCAGGAAACAGGACAGGGAGGCAAGGAGGACTGCTCAGAGTCCCAAGAACCAGGTCTAGGGGCAGGAGTCCCACAGGTCCCAGAGTGTCTCAAAGAACCACAAAAGGAGGGAAATGGATTGAGAACTGTGAAGTTTTCTGATGGTGTCTGGAAGATGTACTGTAATACATGTAGAAAAGCAAGTTCATCATAGGTTCACAGAAAATTTAGAAATAACTAGGAAATCTGTAAGCATGTACAATCAGAGGAACCAACTGGAGACCACAGGGAAGTGGTGTGTGTGTGTGTGTGTGTGTGTGTGTGTGTGTGTGTGTGTGTGTGTGTGGAACCAACTGGAGACCACAGGGAAGTGGTGTGTGTGTGTGTGTGTGTGTGTGTGTGTGTGTGTGTGTGTGTGTGTGTGTGTGTGTGTGTGTGTGTGTGTGTGTGTTGAACTCTGGGCCTGGGCGCTGTCCTTCAGCTCTTCAGCTCAAGGTGAGTGCTCTACCACTTGAGTCACAGCGCTACTTCCAGTTTTCTAGTGGTTTATTGGAGATAAGAGTCTCACGGACTTTCCTGCCCAGCCTGGCTTTGAATGGCAATCCTCAGATCTCAGCCTCCTGAGTAGCTAGGATGACAGGCATGAGCCACCGGAGCCTGGCTTGGGCTTTTCTTATTATGGCATTTAGTGCTATTTAATTTTCTAACTATGTTTGTTACTTTTTTAAAAATTACTCACCAAATTAAGTAATGAGGTTCTACAGGTAGAAGGGACCTTCACCCATAGATATATCAAAGTAATCAGGGACTTTTTAATACAGAAGTGTCAGGCCCTCCACTTTTAGAAACTAATACATAGCCAGAGCTGCTCACCAGCTCTGGGAGCTAAGGGCAAAGTGGTGAAAACCAGGTTCTAAATAATATCTCTGGAACACTGGTGCTAAGTTTAATGTCAATCTTCTCTTTGTTCAGTAGGAACACAGTTCTAGGGCCTTAAAACAACTTCAGTCAAGTGAGCTGCAACCTGAACCAAGACTAGCAAGGGACAGGGACAGATAAGGTTCCCAAACAACAAGGTGGGGGCACCCATGTAGACGCACAAAGCACAGGGAAGTCAAAGCCAGTTTTCGCACACAGAAACCATTCAAACTGCTGCGGGCCACACGGAGGGCCTCATGAAAGAGAGTGAGGCAGGGGTGGGAGGCGGCAGCCAGGGCCCAGCGGACACACAGCATCCACAGACAAGGGAACCATCTTCCCCATGCGGTCTGCCGTGAACTGCACCTCGTGCATGTGGTTCTGAGTCGTGCCGCGGGGACAGGGACATGGTAACCAGAGAACCACGGGGACCGCCTTAGCAGAGGCTGCCCGACACCCCTTTCCCAGGCCTCAGACACAGCGCCCATGATCCACAGGAGGGGACCAACTGAGTGAGACTGTCAACTCCGATCTGCAAGCAAGACACACAATTAACTATTCCCCTCAAAGAGTGTAAGACTGTGAGTGGGAGAGGAGAAGAAATGAAGACAATAATGGTGTATGTGACGCTGTAGTCAAACTGTAGCTAAAACACGTGCGTGAAGAAGTGTGGGCGTCCGGGCTGCAGGTGGAGTGAGTCCGTCTTACTGAGTGACTGCGCCAGGGCTGCTTGGGCTCCTGCTGTCTGAAGAGAACCTGGGAAAGAGCCCGTACACTTCCGGGAAGCAGATGTGATCATGAAGTGGGTGGATGGGAAAAGCAAATGGTAATGGCA